TAACCCATTTAACCCCAAATGGTTAAATTTCTTACCCACCACTGGGAGGGAAGAAAAATGTTATGTTTTCAAATTATTTTTTAAAATATTTATTTTTATACTATTAAAATTAATTTTGTGGGTTTAATGAGAGGATATACCTTAGTATGAGATTTAATGAGAGAGAATGGAAAAATAGTTCTATTTCTAATTGGTTTTAAAATTTACATTCCATTTCCATCATTAATAAAAGCATTTCATATTCATCATACTTATTATTGTTTAATATGTCAAATATATGATGTTAAAAATGTTCATATTTTTTTTTAATTTTTATATTTTTTGTATTTTATCTATTTTGAATTTTATTATTTAATTGTGGCAACATGGATTGACCCATTTGGCATAAAATGGCTTAATTTCTTACCACCACCTAGATGAAAACACTATTTTTTCAAGTAGATTTCAAAAGTATGTTTTTATGTTATTGGAATTATTAATTTATTGTGCTTAAATTTAATTAATAGAATTTAATGATGAGAAGAAATAGAATGCCTTAAATATATGATTCAATGAAGGTGAATGCAAATTAATACCTTAATTGTTAGATTTAATGAGAGGAAATTGAATGCATTGAATATCTTATAATTATCTCTTCTCAACTCATTTTATATCAGTAATTGATTAATATTTTGCCCTCATTTTTATCAATAAATTTAAATATGGATGGGTAAATTTTGTCCTCAAAAAAATCGAGAAATATTCCTAAGGTTATTTTTGCTTTTTAAAGTAGTATAGATATAGATTTGTCTATAACTATAGGCTAAAAAAACATGACTGTCATATGGATGGTGTTTTGGTACTGATGTGTTGCATTTTCATTTTGATTCCCTTTAAGCATTGCATCATCAATTTGATTGCACTATACATATTTATATTTGTACTCTCAAACTGAGCTCAGTTTGGCAAAAGTACAGATACAAATACGTAGAGTAAAACCCTGTATTTTGTACTATTTTGTATGTATTTATAGTCTTTCTAAACTGAACCTAAGATTCTATTTGGAAGGAATACAAATACAAATATGTAGAATGCAAAACCTTACATTTTATATTATTTTGTATGTATTTGCACTGTACATATTTGTATTTGTACTCCTTCCGAAGTAAACCTAACATTAATTCATAACAATATTTGATCAAGCAAATTTAACTTGAAATAGAATCACCATATTTTGTATCAAGTTTCGCACATGGGAGCATTAAGAGATGTTTCTTATGTTTGATGGTTGCTCTTACTTTATTTGGCATTAAACAGAATAAAATGGTGGAACAGGACTCATGTAGTTGATGTAACACCAGTGCCAAATACCTTCTTGGACGACTCCATCTACTAAACATTTTGATGTTGAAGATTTGATCGATCGATGTCAGAAAATTGTGTTTCTTTTTGTATTGGTGGGATTCCACACTTGGTGCTGTGGGCCAGGATATTGTTGGCCCTTGACTTCAGTTCAATTCACTAGGTTTTGTCCTTTTTATTGGATGCATGCATATAGAATTAAATCAACGTCCAGAATAACAAGTTGTCTAAAGTATTAAAGCATTAAGGAATAAGGAGGGCTTCTGAGAAACTGGTTCAGATACAACACAGCATATTTATGGGTTGTTAGTTTGGGTACCAAGGAGGAATAAGTACGAATGGGCAGGCTTTAATGAGAGTCTCATATCAGAGAAAGAGAGGAATTTTAACCATGTGAAGTAGACTCAATATGAGGTGGCTCAATAAGTTGTGTACTAAATTCTTAGAAGGCAATTTTGTCCATTGAATTTAGGGTTCGTTTGGTTTATAGTCGAAATTGGAATCTAAATCCTTTGAAATTAGAATCAGAATAGTCTATTCTCATAGTTTGTTTGGTTCAGATAGGAATGAGAATGGGCAATTGAAATCAGCAGGAATGAGATTTCATCTCCAAGGGAATGACAGRGAATGCCATTCTAGAAAGAATGGGAACGGGATTCTGATTCCGCCCAACCAAACAGTTGGGGTTGGTGTAATCCATTCCAATTCCAATTCAAAACCCCTATTCCCGCGAACCAAAAGGGGCCTTAATTTGTAATGTATTTAAATGAGTAGTACATTAAATTCCACCTTATTTATGAATGTACTAATTAATTGCCCTCATAAATTTGTATTATCAATTTTCTCTCAATATATAAATAGATAGCACTTGGCCCGTTTGGGAGGGTTGAGCTGAAGATTTGGTTAAACTGGTTCAGCTGCTTTCAAGCGCTTTAGAATTTGGAAAGCCGATTAGATCTCTCTAGATTTTTCATCAAACATTGTTTATATGCTACTATAAGCCACTGCACTTCAGCCTTCCCAAACGGGCACTTAATGGTTTTATCTTTCTTTTTATATTTTGAAAATCCACCATTTGGTTGATAATACAGGTATTATGGTGGCTAAAGGGCATATGTGAAATATGGAGGATAATAAGCGCGATGTGGACAAAGAAACAATAAACAATTAGGTCCCTCGTCAAATGACCTAGATCCACAATAGTTTCAAGAACTTGTTCCCAAAGGATTTATGGATTTATGGATTCAGCAGGAATGAAATTTCATTCCCAAGGGAGAGGGAGGGAATGACTATTCCCTCAAATAGAGGAATGCCATTCCACCAGGAATGGGAATGGGATTCCGATTCTACCCAACTGAACTGTTGGAATTGGAATAACCCATTTCCATTCTGATTCCGATTCCAGACCCCTGTTCCCATGATCCAACCGGGCGTTATATTTTAGGATAACTAATGGTAGAAACAGATTTTGTTATTTTTTTCTCGCTCAATGATTCTATTAGTTTTTAGGTTATTAGAGAAGATCAGTTACAAGAAAATACTATGAAAATTCTAGTTTGTAGCTTTTAAGTAAGCATATCATGTCATTAATAAGTTTCATTTGCGAGCAATATACACTAGAGTAAATTTTGAAGAGTTAGGTTTGTTTTCTAATGCATCACCATTCGCAATTAAAATAATATCAATCCCTTTTTCCTTTTAGAATACTAATATTCATTTATTGATAAAAAAATTCTAAAATCCATTTAAAGGTGGAAAATACAACCAAATATAACAAAAAAGGGAAGCGCAACGAAAGATACTAGGTTTTGGCTTATTCAAAGACTAGTAGTGGCCCGTCAATGAGGACCGCTTTTTAAAAATGTGTTTTTAAGGGGGAAATAGTGATTCGCCGAAGTTTTTATATATTTGTAGTTCTTTACATATAAAATAGTAGAAAAATTAATTTTCTTTTCCTTTTCAGTTATTGAGCTTCAAATTTATTACTTTTTATATAGCCAAAAAATGTGCTTAAAATCAATAATTAAGTTAAAAAACAATTTCAATATTGAACAAATGGAAATAACTAAAGCCTCATGTTAAGTGCTTTATATTGTTGAATCAGAGGAATCCATGAAACAAATATACATTAAATTAATAAAGTAAGAGAAGCCTAATAACCCATGGAAATGAGAAATGCTTTCTTTAGACTTTTCTATAAGAAGAAAATTGGTTCACCCCCATGCATTGGTGGGCAAATTTGGGTTTTAACAATAATTTGGGTCAAAGATAGGGTTCATATTTAGGTTGGCCCTTAACTCAACCCATCTAATGAACACCTACTTTATTAGATAGAGCCAAAAGAGACTTAAGAGGAAAAGAGGGATTTAATGGGGGAGAGGAGATTTTACAAACATGGACTATTAAGGAGAGAGAGAGAGAGAGAGAGAGAGAGAGAGAGGAATGCTTTGTTATATTTTTAATGATTTCATTTAAAAATAAATATGCACATGTGTGAGAAAGGAAGTAGGGGAAGAAGATGTGAGCTTTGTGGTGAGAGGACCCCTCACCTCCCCTTTTTCTTTTTTCTATTATATATATAGATAATAAGACCACGTTTGGGAGTGCTTCTATAATGGGCTTTTGCGGCTTTTCATGTTGGTGTAGCCAAGAGCCAATAAAGAAATGTTTACCAAATGGGATTTTTTCATCTTAAAAGCCCTATAGAAAAATGTTAAAAACAAACCTGTTGATTAGATTTTGTGTTAGCTATATTGAAGAAAAAGCTGGTGCAAAAAACACCCATCCAAACACTAAAATAACACCTTTTCAAATAACATTTTAAAAAATGTGGCATTTCTAGAAGCCTATTTAGATGAAAAAGCACTTACAGGTGCTATGTAAGAATTACAAAGTTTTGGAACGAATCGAATAACCCAAAATAATATAAATCAATAGCAACAAAAAAATAACCTAGCTAATTGAGGAACAATGCATAGGGATGCAATTAAAGATAGTGCTAAACTAGTCTTAGAAGTAAAAAAAAAATGTTTTTCTTCTTGTGTCATTTTGAATGGGATGCTAAGTATATAGGATAATTTTTTTTTTTGAACATGGCATTCTATGTAAAGGTCTAAAATGATCTATCTCAAGGAACTTATTTATATGTAGCTATCAAAGAAAAAAAAACTATTTTATATGTGCATTAGTAATTTAGTTGTCTTACATAGAACCGATATATATATATATATATATTAAGAAATATTAGTTACAAACAGTGAAATGAATTTGGTTTCACAAGATTTTATTAGTTATAGGCATTAATTTCTTATACATATATTACTTATAAGATAATAAAAACTGTTAATCATAAGAGGGGGGCTATCTACTGATACAAGTGAATGTACCAGATCTAGGAAATGAGGATTCAAAGAATCACACAATCAACTAATAACATAAACGGTTTACTAAGCACCTGTGATATGATCAGTTTCCTTTCTTATTGCCAAATTCTCTGCTCACTGCAAACCATAAATTACCAAACTAATAATAACAATGAAGTAATGGTATAGCATTTTACACCTACAGTAAGGGAGAGTTGGAGACTAGCTAGAAGACTAGTTCAGTGTTCTCAGGCAGTCAGAGTAGATAAGAAGATAAACACCATTAATATTAAGATTGGCTAGCATGTTAAGTTCATGGTGAATTGTGATAAGATAGTAAGAGGCCAAAGGCCAAGCATGTGCACATATTATTACACATTTCTCCTCTTGTAAGTGCTGTTTTGTAACAGTAGATAAATGGAGTTTAGATAATAAGCTACAGGAGTTGGATTCCATGCAATATTGTTAGGCTATTTGCTTTCCTGTAAATTGGGCTGGATTGGCTGCACACGGAAGGCCAGAGGCATTGATGATGAAGAATAGTTCCTTCCTTTCTGATGATACCCATTTTCCATCTCCCTCACACCATTGTCAATTCCCATTTGTTGGTGATGCTGCAGAAATAATGAAAAGATTCAATTAAAAAAAGGGCATCCAATTTCAATAACCACTTAGATCACAATCATCAATTTTTGCAACTTAGATGGCGCCGCTTGCTTGTTTAATTTAAAAAAAAAAAACAAGTGCAAGAATACATGCTATACATGTGTGCAAGTAAAGATAAAAGGGTATGTAAAAATATAAATATTAACCTTACATGATATGAATCATATGATACATTGATTTAAGTTTTATGAGCTGCATGGAAACCAAGATAAGTATCTATATTTTATAGTATAGGTATGGATACTCAATGGCCAAGATGATCAAAAGTAGTGATCAGAAGTAATGACACCAAGATAAAAAACCAGCTGATTGGCTTAGAAGAGTCTTGACCTTGTTGGAAGACTAGTAACAAGAAGAGAATAAATAGTTTCAGTATAAAAGCTTCCTAAACAATAACAATCTTTCACATGGCCAACTAGTTTCAGTATAGAAGGATCACAGACTTCCTTTTTCTGCCTTATCTTGTTACTTGGATACCCCAAGGAATGGCATGGACATGGTATCAGAAATGGAATTTACACTAAAAATTGAATGATTGATACAACACTATATATACAAGATATATATTTGGGGTATCATAGCACCTTATTATTACTATTCATGGTATAAATTTCATCCCAAAAAATATATTTCCAGCAGCATATATTTTAATTTCTGTAGGTCATACCCTCTATTTTAACTGATTAGGATGATATTTCCCTTAACCACAAGATGATTGTCTTTTAGAGAGGTCAATGTAATGGTATTTCCATTATAGTGATGTATGTCAATGAATAAATTTCCATTGCTACAAATGATTTTGTAATCTGAAGTCTATGTTATATATCATAGTTAAGGGTGTCGATTGGACTGGATTTGGTCCGATTCGATCCAGTCCAATGTGAGTCCATTACAAATGGACCAGGTCCAATCCAATCCAATGAATAATTTGGAACATTTTGGACTGGTCCAATTCAATCTTTGGATTGTCCAATTTTTTCAAATTCATTTTAATTTAGATTGGTTTCAACCCAAATCCGGTCCATTGACACCTATATTCTTATCTTATATCAATGGACAGGATATTGGCTTAATCCAACCATATCCAATATAAATTTATTATGGACGGACCAGGTCCAGTCCAATCTAATAAATATTTTGGACCGGATTAGTCCAATCCACTGTTTTTTTGGTCCATCCAATCTGTCCAAATTGATTTTGGACTGGACCGGTTCATTGACATTAATCATAGTATGGGGAATATTATTGCTGTTTATGATTTTCATAAATTTTCTTAAAATATTTTGTTAAATTTTATATGCACATGAATTTAGGTATATGTATCCTCTTTTCTTATTTTGTTTTTTCTTTTTACCTTTTACCTCTTTTTTCTACCACACTCTAATCACCATATTCCCTCTCTCTCCAAACTAGCTTTCTTCCAGTTTCTAAACTACTTCCATACTTTTTCTCCGCCACCTTTCCTCCTCATATTGCTCTCCCTTATATTTGAGTTCTCTTCACAGAAATAAAACCTCTAATCATCTTATATATTGATTTTTTTTTCATTTTTTTAAACTAATGCAAATGCATCCATGCCTCCTTTTAATACATACATGTTTATCTTGGTGTCATGTAGATTACAAAAGTTTTGTTTGTTCATCCAAATTAGATTGTAGGTATTGATCAAAATAGATTTAGGGTTCGTTTGGTTCACAGTCGGAATTGGAATGGTCTATTTCCATAGTTTGTTTGGTTCAAATAAAAATGAAAATGATAATTGAAATCAACAGAAATAAAATTTCATTCCCAAGAGAGAGGTAGGGAATGTCCATTCTCTCAGATGGGAGAATGCCATTCCAACAAGAATGAGAATGAATTCCAATTCCACCCAACCAAACAGTTGGAATCGGAATAACCCATTCCAATTCTGGAAACCAAACGGGGCCTTAGAATATATGGGTCTAATTTAATTAGTTTTCAACTCAAATAATAAACCCAGTTCAAAGGCTTAACCTATAAATTAAACAGACCCAGCTTACTTCTCAGACTTGCCACATACGTATACGTATAGTTGGCCCGTCATGGTGGGGTCATTAAATGGTTTATGCCTTTATGGCTTTATGCTACAAGATGTAGACATAGCTGAGTCTCTACGTAGTCATTTTTTGCTCTGATCGATTGACAGATTGATGGGAGGAATGGACTTTATGCAGAGACTATGAGTTTTCTATGTATGATGATGATATGCCTACCAAGATAAAATTGAGGCGATTGTTATCTTCCTCCAGCGTTCTTCCCTGCAGCGATTTGACCAAAAAGAAGTTAGGGAAATGGCCAATCTTTCACATCTATACAGAAAACTCATCATCAAGTCTAAACACCATAAACAGAAATGGAGTCACAACATGCAAAGGACGAGTGTAAGATAAAGAGAATTGCATGCAATCAATCAGTAGAGTACGGCTATGGATTTTGTCTGATCTTGATCACTCACATTCTTCTCCAGCATCTTCAAGTACTCCATCTGTCACAGAAAAGGAAATGGAGATGGAAGATGAGATCTTGTCTCCGGATGGTCGAGCATAACCAGAGCTGATCGATTGTTAAAAGAAAGAGGACGTTGAAAGAATAACAAAGGAAGAGACTTATTGCCTGTTTGGCGCGGACATTGACCAGACCATTCTCGAGAGCTTCTTCAATGGGGATAAGCTCCTTCGGGGTCAGTGAATTGATATCCTCACCCTTCAAGTGCCTGAGAAAAAACAAAAATGATGATAACTTCGTTAAAATGGAACCCCACAACTGACATGATCAAAGAAGAGAAAGTTTTAGTAGGGAAATCGCTTTACCTGAGCTCGATCTGCATGGCGTCATTCTCTTTCTTGATTCTGTCTATTTCGTTGCTGAGAAACTGTTACACAGAGAAAGATTTCACTGGTGGATCTCTTTATGGAAACCATGTTTCATTTCTTTCCAGTGTGTTTTGTAAAGAAAATTAAAGAAAACCACTTGCAGATGGCAGATCTGTTCTCTGAATGTGTTTCTTAAGCAAATACCTAGATGGGTTGTTTTTCCTCACTTAGATCTTGAAGGAAGACTAGGCATTTCGATTTAAAAGCCAGATACTTTTTGAGATGACAGAAAATTTCCAAGGAATAACAGGGAGAGAGAGAGAGATAACCTCATGCTTTGCATCCCACAATCTCTTGCCAGAAGACTTCTGGTATCTATCCAGGAGCTTGATCAGCCTTAACCCATCAAAAAGAAAAATTAAAGAGAACAAAAAACAAACAAAATCCAACATGGGAAAGAGAAAGGGAAGAAAAAACAAAAGAAAGAGGGGAAATAACCAACAAATGAAGTCAAGGAGAAGATCGGGAAAATATATGAAGAAGATAACAAGAGAAAACACTTCCATACGTGGTGTTAGGGCTGCAGTACTCAGACATCTTGCCAGTGCTAGAGAAGATAACAAGTGAAACCTCAGCGTCACAAAGAACAGTGATCTCCTTAGCCTTCTTCATGATCCCATTTCTCCTCTTCGAGTATGTAACCTGCCTGTTTGTTGAATTCTCTATCCTCTTAATCTCAATCTTCCCTCTCCCCATCTCTCAGCTCTCAGCACAACCCAATCTCTGCAACACTTTTGTTCTTCTTCTTGTTCAAAGGGCAGACAATGAAGAGATGATTGCATCAAAAGAGAAGGAGATAACAGAGGAAAGTAATGGAAGAACATTCTATTCTGGGTTTGGAGTGAATCAACTTTCGGAGCGGTTCAGAATCGATGGTTAGTTTAAGGGTTGTTGACAAACACAACACTTGAAAACCTCATCTCCTTAACCTTTGGTCTCTTTACTGTAAACTGTGAAGTACAATGAATATTAATTACTGTTTTTTAGGGTTATCAGTTAATCAAATCAACTGAAATATAGAGACAAGACTTGGGCGCATTTGATACGTAACATGGTCTTTTACATGTCGAACAGATACACGTGTCACTCCCAAAGACTCACACAGGGTTTGTTTCGAGCCATTGAACTCTTTTAGTGCAGCAACCAGATCTTAACCATGAATCAGAACAAGTGTCAAAGAGCTGAGAAAAGGGTTTCTCGTTAGGAATTGGAGAACAAAAGAACAAACGAGAAAAAGGGAACCAACCAGGGTGCGGCACGCGTACTCGGGCTGAACAGTGAGTACAACATGCCTGATCGGTGAACCAAACAGTGATTTAACTGTTCACTGAGTTTGTTTTCTAGAGTTTAGTAAATACTCTTAACGCGATGGGGATGGGGATGAGAAAAAGAGAATATTCTAAAAATATTCTCTTTTTTCATATTTGGTTTTAGGGGAAGAGGGGGATGAGGCGAGAAAAGTGTGGGATATTAGATCTTAAAATCATAGGTTTGGGGTCACACCACCAGCGGAAAAATGTAAGAAACCATTGCTTATTCTCTATTTCGGCGAAACCAGCGACGACAGCACCCCTCCCCATTCGAACTTAGAAACAGAGTAGCAGCGGTGGCACCCCCTCTCAGCCACTCCCTGCCTCCCTCTCTCCTCTCTTCTTTTGGGTTCGTAGAATGGTAGAACTTAGATCTGGGTTCGAAGATACAGATCAGAGACACTCCCTTCCTCTCTCCTCTCTTCTTCTCTTTCTTCTTCTGGGTTCGGAGACACAGGTTTGGGTTCATAAACACAAATCTAAGTTCTGACATGGTAGAACTTAGATCTAGGTTTGTAGACACTGATCGAAGACACTTCCTTCCTCCCTCTCTCCTCTCTTCTTCTCTTTCTTCTTCTGGGTTCTCAGATATAGTCGTAGACACAGATTTGGGTTTGCAAATACAGTGTTTTCTTCTCCCGCACCTTCTCCTCTCTTTTCCTTGAAACAGTGTTTTCTTATTATTTTCTCATCTTTAAAACCAAACAATGGAAGAGCAGATTTTTACACTTTCCCATCTCATCCCATACCATCTTTTCTCATCCCACCCAAATCTTCCCACAAACCAAACGGAGCATAAGGAATCAGTTTGTTTTTCATTATTTATAACTAATATTATTATAGTATCTACAAATTAATTAATAATCTTTAAAAAATGGGTGTTTTATTGAATATTTATATACTTAAATACTTTCACGCATACACACGCATAATAATAATAATAAAATATCAATAATATCAGGTCAATCTGAGACATTGAATTAGTAAAGTATATAAGAAATTTCCTTGATAAAAATCATTTTAGTTCTTTTTTACATAAAAATATCATATTAGCCTTTATTTTCTAATTAGTATTTAATTTCTTAGAAGTTGACATCATAAGATAATAAAATAAGGTGAAGGCAACAATCTATATAATTTATATACTGGGAAATATCACTAAATCCACCCCACAAATTTTTTACTTCACCCTATACTCACAACAATTTAAAACTTCCTAACACCCTCTTGTATTGGCATCAATTACCCAGTATCACTCTTCGCAACTGTACGATGAAGTAAAAATGTGTGAGGTGGGGGTAAATGAAGATTCCCCTCAAAATAATACATGAAAAGTAAAAACAAAATTTTTTCCATTCCCATCCTTGTAATTTGTATTAGGGTAAATTACAAAGACCCCTTGTATTATGGGGTTAGTGACAAGTACCCCCTCCATTAGAGTTCCGTCAGTTAACTTYCATAAAAGATTTTCATTCAGTTGTTTTAAAATTTTTGAAATTCCTAAACTACTCTTTTCTTATTTATTTGAATGATTTATGATTTGATTAGTTTTCTAAATATAACATTGAAATCCTCTTGGTTGCTCCAATAGTTCTTTGCACATTTTTGACTGGGTCCAATATTCAAATGAAATGGTGGAGGTTTCTTTTGGATAGATATAAATTTATGGTTTTGTTTGGTTTTCCTTGATTTATTGGAGAAATGAGGGATAATTTTTACATTTTAAGATGAAGAGATACATTATATCAATGAAATGAATCGAGAATTGTAAAAAAAACGTTTTTTTTTTTATGCTAGTGAAATGTTTCTTGTTATTTTAACTGGTTTCGTTTGGAGAAAGTGGATGTACTTTTTGGTTAATTAGGGTTTTATAGAAAAGGGTGAGACATAGAGACATGGTGAGAAAATGGGGGTACTTTTTCAATTCTAGTGGGCATTTTGATAATTTAATGCATTCTACTGTTATCTGACTTAATGGTCTGGGGGTATTTGTTGTAAAATAAAAGTTCAACGGATCTTTGTTGCAAACGAAACTTTAGGGGGTATTTGTCACTGACCCCATAGTATAAGGGGGTCTTTATAATTTACCCTTTATATTATTTTGAACCATTCATTCTAAATTTTGTATCATTTGTAAATGTACCTTTGAATAATCCATAACCTAAGTTAAGGTTATTCATTCTCTCCTTGTTTTTTGTTTTTTTTTCATTAATTTGGCTGGATTTTCCACCATGAAATTGATTTTAGTACTTTGAAATGCAAAAGGATGAATGGTTTTCTTTTAATTGTGAGTGGAGATAGATCTGAAAAAGACCCTAACCGTTTAAAGTTATTCTAATACTTATTCCATACGAAAGAAATTTATAAAGGATGACGTGATCGATGCCCATGTATAAAAAAGCGACGAAATAGAAGATTGGGTCATTTATTACTAAAGACAGTACCCCTATAGTTTACCATATTAACCCAAACACCCCCTGCAATTTTCTTATTACTAAGATACCTCTCAAGTTTCATGGCACTCTCATAGAAACAAAGGGTGGATTGATTTGTAGCCTAGGTTCTTCATCAAATAACTACATCACATTGGAGGAGACAAGCAAAGTTAAATGCTTGCTGAAGAGTCACTGTTCAAGCGCTGGTTGTTCTTCTCTTTATCATACTTTTCAAAATTGGATCGGGTCGGACAATCAGATCGGAAAAATTGGGATCTGACCGGTTCCGTTTTTTCCTAAAACCGTTGATTTTGGTYAGCAAACCACTGAACTGGCTGATTAATCGTTCAAACTGTTAGAACAGTTTTGATCATTTTTTATTTTTTTTTTAATTTTTTTATTTTTTGTCAAAATGGGCCGACCGGTCGAGTTCCCCTGACCGGTTCGGTCGCCAGATCGGTTTTAAAAACCATGCTCTTTATCATTCTTGTCATAGTTATTGCATGATCAAGACGTGGAGTCTGTTTTACTCTTGACTCCTCAGTCATAAAGTATAAATAGCTAGGGGGAAGTATGTTTAGAGAGATTAGGTAGAAGGAGATCCTGAATAGACTATTGAAAGACATTGCAGCTTGTTAAATTGCTTCAAAGATTTTAGGTGGGAAACATCATTTGCGATCTGCTACCCACAATTTGTTCCCACATCCCTACCGATAGAGCACTACCACCGTGTATCTGTAATATCTTGAGAGTAAAGATGTAGGAAACAAGTCGTGGATAGCAGATCTGAGCCCCGAAATCATCTCGCTCTATCCCCACCCAAAAAGATGAAAAAACAATGGATTGGTTTTTGTCATGCCCTCTAATGCAAATGGTCAAGAACAATGGAGGGAAGTAAAGGTGGGGAGAATTATAGTAACTTGAATGAGAGCCAACCTCCAAATCATGTAGCTTGTTGGACCACACACTCAGTGTATCAGAAGCAATGTTTTAAAAACTAACCCTGCTTTAAAAATTGACTCAGAACCGAACCATTTTGGCTACTAATTTTTGGGTCAGCGGTCAAACCATTCAGTTCAAATGGAAGGTCTATTTTAAGTAAACAATTAAAATTTAAAAAAAATAATAAAAAATGGTAAAAACTATGGTCTAGGTCAAATGGGTCGATAGTTCGATTGTCTGGGTCAGCAAGTCACCAGCCAAGTTAATGGTTTTTGGTCAAAGAATAAGTTAAGGGTGAAACAGAACCAGTTGCATGGACGGTTCCCGGGATGAATGGTCCAACTGTTCACATCAGTGATGATTCAAAAACACTAATCAATAGTAACTATGTTCATCATCTTATAAGAAGTCACTTGTTCATCATCCATCTCTTGTGAAGATGATTCCATATGTTTTTGTTAGACCTAACATGGCTCAGGGTGGCTGTGAAACAGACCTTGATATGTATTGATATAAGTGAGGAACTTTGGCATGGGGGACCAACGCTCCCTTGGTCCATTATTTGCTGAAGAAGAAGAAGAAGAAGAAGAATTTTACTAGTAATATGTGAAACAAGGTTTTTGAGGTTACAATCTACTAAAATTCACTATAATACGGAATGGTTTATTTTTAGACAGGAATGGGAATGAGAATTAGAATCAATAGGAATGAGATTTCATTCCCAACGGAGAGGCAGGGAATGGCCATTCTCTCAAATGGGGGAATACCATTCCAATAGGAATGAGAATGAGATTTTGATTCCACTCAACCAAACAGTTGTAATCGGAATAGTCCATTTCGATTCCGATTCCAAACCCCTATTCCTACGAACCAAACAGGGACTAAATTATTATTGGATGAATGAGTCTGATCAAGGTTTAAAGTATCGGAAACGCCAAGTGTATTGGAAAGGCAATTTTAAGAGACGTATCGAGATACACCTTGGATACCCATGCATATCAGAGAAAAACTAAGATACGCATAGATATGCTTTGAAACACTATACATACTTTAATAAATCATAAAAATACATAACAACACTAAATATAAGACCTAAATGAGGTGTATATACATTAAATTAATATATTTTAATGGTTTTATGAATAAATATATTGTAGTTAATTATAATTTCATTAAAAATCCTATACTTAACTATAATTTA